GAGGACTCTTTCTCATGGATGAGAGTGAAACAGATAAGTAAAGGTGAGCTGAGGGCCTTCAATAAAATTAAACCCGGATATATTTTTTAAGGGTAAGGAGTATAGGAAGTGATGCAACTTGGGAAGAAGAGGTGGTTGAGAAAGTTCATGGATGACAACATCTGAGGAGAAGTTTGAAAGAAGTGAGCCACGTGAAGGGAGCAGAGCTCTTATCAAGCAAAGGGGCTTAATTGTGTTGGTTTATTACAGATTGCCTTTTTGCTGGAAAATAGCTCATAGGTGTGTGCGAGGGCTAACAGACATGAGCCATGAAAGGAGATAGAGGTAATCATGGCTGATACATGGCCAGGATGGTGGTGAGAATCAGTGATAGTCTGGTGGTATTTTGAAGATAGGGCCAATAGATTAAATGGGGGTCCTATTGTGATTCTAGATAGTACCAAGAATTTCTGGCTGCTTCGGAATAGTCATAATTGACTTTTACTGTAAGAGAAAATGGTTCTTAGGAGAGTTGGGGGAGGGGGGCATTTTTATTTGGCGGTATAATCATGTTTGGTTGTAGTATACTGAAAACCACAGAGATGGCATTTCCCCCTCCCTCCCCAACGAAAATGTGCTGCAGGGCCTTTCAGAGACATTTCTTTATTCCACTTTAGACCTCGTGATTTTTCTTTTTCAAATGGTGATGGCCGTCATCTTCCCTAAGCGCTTATTTGTAATAATAAAATGACGATGAGTTTCAAGTCTCAGTTGAGTTTCAACCATCTTTTGTTTTCATTCTTTAAGCCCCCATTCTCAATGTTTAATAGATGACTCGTATTCAAAATTTCTTAACATGGAAGTAAGGTATTTTCCAATTTTCATAGTAATTATTGGAACCTTGGTGACATAGCGATCCTTGACTACAGCTTTGGTATGATGACTTATATTTTTGGCTCTTGCAAAAGGGAGAGCAAAAAGGAGTCTTTAATGGAAGCTTGATTTTCAAGAAATTTCACTGAAAAGAAATTAAGTTTCGCTCTCGGTAAGCAGCAGAAGTGGAGGTACAGGGAAATAACAAGGGGCAAGGGAAGAGAGCTCAACAGCTGGGTTCTCAGAGAGCTACTGCTTCCCACACTGGCTTCCATGGTCTATTTTGTCTCTGGAAAGGTCGCATCCAACCAAACAGCAGCTTCTGGGGAGGTCTGCAGGGCAAATTCAATGTAAAGCATAGAGGTCAACTCAAAAGATTATGGCAGCTGTTTGGGGGGATTCCAAAAAGGTGATCTGGATAGATTTTCTCAAAGGACATAAGATGATTGTGGAGATTTATAATGAAGAAGTTTAAAGAAAACTGGAAATTGCATTGGTAAGAAAAGACTTATGAGAATTATATTGCAGAATTTTTCTCCATCACAGCAATATAGCTGCTAATTTTTTAATGGTGATCTGGGCTGTCTGTCCTACAATAATTTGGTTGCGGAGCCTTCCCCCACCCACCTTACAGCCCCAATGTTGCCCATGCGGACTGCCTTTTGTTTTCCTTTCCCCAGAACTCCAGGAGTATTGAAATACAATTTTGACTCCCCAGAATGCCATAACTGCTGTTGGTTGTGATGTCAACTGAGAGCCCAGGATTCTTTGATGAAGAGGTAGAGAGATGGAAGTATAAAGCTAGATGAAGAATAGGTCCAGAAATAATAACTTCACATTCTGGTATTTTTGTAACTCATACTTGGGAACTTAGAGGGAATGAACATTCAGCTGCCTGAAGTCTTAACTGGGAAAAACAAGCAGTTTGATAGAGAAGTTTTGACTCATGGCAAAGTGAACAACTGTTCCCTCAAAAGGAGAACTCTTCTACCTTCTGTGGAATCACAGCAGTATGACCTACCATGGCAAAATTACATGATGGATTCTATGGCGGTAATGACATGTGTCAATGTGTCCAATTGGATAATTTGTATTTAATATTCAGATGAAAGATGTAACTCTTTAACGCAAATGGCAACTGTGTGGGTGCATAAAGGGGACAAATTTTAAAAAACATGTTGAAATTAAATTTCTGGTATATTAAAGAACTCTGGTATAAATGAACTGACTACCAAGAGAACCACCCCCTCCCACTCCCAGTGACCCAATTCACTTACTATGGAATATTCTTGTAGAATCTCAGAATTACATGAATGTTATTTATCAGTTGTCACAAGCATCTGCACCATCATATTGTGTTTCTTTGAATCAGAGACACTGACTAAAATGGCAATGTCTGAGTCTGGCCACATTTTCAAACATGCTAGGTTTGTCATGAGCTCTATTATTGCATGAGTCTGATGAAATTAAAGCAGTTGATCATTTATACTTGATTGTTACTGTTGGTTGCCCCCTTCCACCACCTTTCCCCCATCCCCCACCCCCAACCACACACACACACACACACACACACACAATTAGAGCATCTCTGAGCAAAAGTAGATGACACTGGCAACATACTGTAATTCACTGCAAACAAAATCAGGGCCAGTTTACAGAGCTTCATAGATACTGTCTGTGATAGCTCAAAAAATCTGTTTTGTTGGCTAGAACCTTATGGGTTGTGCTTTATTCTCAGTCTCTATAAAATTGCAGGGTTTGGCTTTTGTTTTGCTTTTCTTTTACATTCTCTGACCATCAAACTGTCCATCAAGACTAAATTACTCCCTCTCTCTTTGAGCCTGCCCTTGGCTATTTAATTTTCTTTGTTCACTCTGCAAGCCTTTGTTCTTGTTACTGCTCTTTACATGCATTGATTTCACTGCCCAACCTGTCTCTGCAGACTCTAAAAAGGTTCTTCTTAAAAGGAGATGGGGGGGGTGGGGGGGAGGGAAACTACTTTTTCAGTGAACACTGGGAGAATATTTTTGTGGCTTTCCTACACCCTCCCCTCCCCCACCTCTTAGCCCCGAATTCTTGTTACACCAGTCTCTGGCTCTCATCAAAGATATCCAACAACTGCTCATCTAGGTAGGGGGTGTGTGATTTAGTTTTATGGATCATCCATCTCTTCTTTGTTCTATCCAGGAAATCGCAGGTCCATTTCATGTTTGCATGGCCTTTATAGCCAGGAGATGCCGTCATTAAACAGAAACCTGATGTTGCATGGAAGGGAAGACGTTTCCCTTTAGTTTCATTTACTTCCTATAATGAGACTATTGCACATAGCTCAATAACAGAATTTTATATGCAGACAGCAAGCCTATTTTTAAGAAGCTCACATAATCCGACTTAAAACAAGTTAAGCTTTTTAAAATTCATTGCAAGGCTCCTGGAAAGTTTTTACTTTGTTTGTTTTTAACTAAGTATTCTAACTACTTTATTATTTTCTAAACCTTTATACTGCTACTCTCTACTTAAAATTAACTTATATAGGGATGCCTCGGGGATGTTGCAGGTTTGGTTCTAGCCCACAACTATAAAGCTAATATCACAATAAAGCAAATGGCACTTAAATTTTTTTCTCTGTACATATAAAAGCTGGGCTTACAATATATGCTGGTCTACTAAGTGTGCACTATCTCTAAGGAAAAAATGGAATATTGTGAGAATTATCAAAATATGACACTGAAACACGAAGTGAGCACATGGGATTAGAGACATGGCAGTGACAGACTTGCTCCATTGAAGGTTGCTTTGAAAGTTTTGTTTGGAAGAAGCACATGTTTGCAAAGCACCGTAAAGAGGGGCACAGAGGTGTGCCAGCATGCCTGTGTCTACCACATGTCATGTTTCATTGTGTCTCTGCTCTAGCTCAGATTTTACCAAAGCACTGAAGGAACCAAACCGGTTTCACTGTAATTTTAAAGGCCTTGTGAATGCATTGGAAACCCTTGGCTAGGGAATCTTGGGCCCTTGAATCTTCTAGCTGATAGCTGAATATTTCCTGTAATTTTTGGAATTAATTATTTCATCATTGAACTATTGACAATTAAAAATAAGCATTAGAATAGGTAAATCACTTTGAGGATCCCTGTCAATCTTCCAGATTAGGTCTTTGTCTTATCTCCAATAATGTGGGTATCTTAGGTTTTAAGACACCAATGAATAGGAAGGAGAGAGATGTGGCAGTCCACCTCTCTGAAAGTTTGCTATCTCCAAAACCCACTGGGACTGTTCCGTTCTATCTTATAGGATCACTGTGAGTCAGAATCTACAGCAATGGGGTCTGAAAATAGAATGTACATCAAAAGATAAAAACTAATCCTTTTATAGGCGTAAAGACTAAAGAGGATTTTTGTTTATTTCTCCTGTTATTAATTAATATTGAGACAAATAGTATTTTCACTTATGAGTTGTGCACATGGTCTTTGTGGAGTCCTGTGTAATACTGACACACTGCATCAAAATGGCTAATGTTGGTACCGTAAATTTTTCTCTGAGCAGAGAAGATAGAACACCATTAGACACTGTGCTTAAGAAGGAATGGGAAAATATAAATGAGTGTAATAGAGAACATGTATAAATTGCATAGATATATGCCAAAGGGAGACCTTTGCAAAGTAAAATTAGGAATGAAATGATAGATAATGGGATCAAGGTTTGTGTGTGTTCATGAGTATTCTTACCTCAATTCTAAGACGTCTATGCTTTGAATAACACGCATCAGCACTTCCCTTGGGCATGCATCCAGACACAGGCCTGCCAGGCAAGAACTGTCCTCATTTATCAGACAGATAAAATAAGCATAGCCACTTAGCACAGACAGCTTCTCAAATCACATGGGAAGACAGCGGTTGAGCAAGTAATACATCTTCACAGGTTAAAATTGCAATGTGCTCTTGGCCACATCGGCTCTGATTCATCTCAAAAACAAATTGTGAGAACTCTGTATAGGGGAGAGTGGGACAAGAAGAATGTGCCCCTGGTGTTTTGGGGAAAGTGCTAGAAAGACCCGAGCGCTTTCACAATAGTCTGTTGACTGCTAGAGATGAATGTTAAGTCATTTGAAATCCACGATCCTTGATTTGTCTTGTCTTGTCTTTCAGAGGGCACCCAGGCAACATGGGTGACTGGAGTGCCTTGGGCAAACTCCTGGATAAGGTCCAAGCCTACTCCACGGCTGGAGGGAAGGTGTGGCTCTCCGTCCTTTTCATTTTCCGCATCCTGCTCCTGGGGACGGCGGTGGAGTCAGCCTGGGGTGATGAGCAGTCTGCCTTTCGCTGCAACACCCAACAACCTGGTTGTGAAAACGTCTGCTATGACAAGTCTTTCCCCATCTCGCACGTCCGCTTCTGGGTCCTGCAGATCATATTCGTGTCTGTCCCCACGCTCTTGTACCTGGCTCACGTGTTCTACGTGATGCGCAAGGAAGAGAAGCTGAACAAGAAAGAGGAGGAGCTGAAAGTTGCCCAAACTGATGGGGCCAATGTGGACATGCACTTGAAGCAAATTGAAATAAAGAAGTTTAAGTATGGTATCGAGGAGCACGGGAAAGTGAAAATGAGAGGGGGGTTGTTGCGCACCTATATCATCAGTATCCTGTTCAAGTCGATCTTTGAGGTGGCCTTCTTGCTGATCCAGTGGTACATCTACGGCTTCAGCTTGAGCGCCGTGTACACTTGCAAAAGAGACCCCTGCCCGCACCAGGTGGATTGCTTCCTCTCGCGCCCCACCGAGAAAACCATCTTCATCATTTTCATGCTGGTGGTCTCCTTGGTGTCTCTGGCCTTGAACATAATCGAACTCTTTTACGTCTTCTTCAAGGGCGTGAAGGATCGGGTGAAGGGAAAGAGCGATCCGTACCACGCGTCCGCGGGTCCCCTGAGCCCCTCCAAAGACTGTGGCTCTCCAAAGTACGCTTATTTCAACGGCTGCTCCTCACCTACCGCGCCGCTCTCGCCCATGTCTCCTCCCGGCTACAAGCTGGTGACTGGAGACCGAAACAATTCTTCCTGCCGCAATTACAATAAACAAGCCAGTGAGCAAAACTGGGCTAATTACAGCGCAGAACAAAATCGAATGGGTCAGGCAGGCAGCACCATCTCTAATTCCCACGCACAGCCTTTCGATTTCCCTGATGATCATGAGAATCCCAAAAAATTAGCTGCCGGGCATGAACTGCAGCCACTCGCCATTGTGGATCAGCGGCCTTCCAGCAGAGCCAGCAGTCGGGCCAGCAGCAGACCTCGGCCCGATGACCTGGAGATCTAGACGCAGGCTCGAGAGCGTCCCCATTCCACTCAACGCTGGTGGAGAAAGAAAAGGTGCTGCTGACCATGCAGCTGAGGTGTTCATTTTGTTCCTTTAAGAGGCGGTACTCCACAGCCTCTTCGAGGAGGCTTAGAAAACACAAAGGCATTAGATGATTGATCTAGGCTCTCTGAGCGTGTCTGGGGTAAGGGGGTGGAGAGGGAGGGGGAATGGGAGATACGTGTTGGTATTTAAAGTAGCTGATTCAAAGAATTTAAGTTTTAAATAAAAGTTGGAGTAGTTGGGACATAGCCCTCCCCTGCCCCATACCCTCCCTTGGTTTCGTGTATTCGAAAATGGGTGATAATCCATAGCTAAATAATGTTTTGTTTTACCAAGAAACCGAAATAACTTTGGCCAGGAGAATGTGCTTCCTGAACCTCTTACTGCTTTTCAACAAGAAAAGACAACAATGTCCTATTGCCCCCGTTAAACATTCCATTGTTAAATTTTGCACTTTGAAGGTAAGCTTGTTCAGGCCTGACCCTCCAGGTGTCAATGGACTTAGGCTACTATACTTTCGGTTTGGGGTATAAGTTCAGAGTTCAGAGAAGGCCCACAGAAAAAGGCTTTCCCTGCATTTGCAAATCTCAGCCAGTTATGTGTACCTTCTGTTTTGCATCCACTTGCATCCCATCATTACCTTTTTGTCATCATTCCTCAACTGCGATTCACATTCATTTAATGGTTTCTATACGCCTTTTTAAAACAGTGTGGATGTCACTTAACATTTTTTGAGTTAGAGTCAGGGAGGCAAGCCATCCTCAATTATTTAACAATCACTTGTATGTGTGTGGAATGGTGTATTTTAATTGTCATGTATTGGTACAAGCAAATGCGGCATCAACTCACAAACACAGATTTGAAAATAATGCACCCACAGTTTTGAGCCTTTCTCGTGGACTTTGTTTTGTGGGCCAATATGGTGTTTACATGATATAATTCCTATTGTGCAACTAAAGCACACTTTTTTTTTCACCCTCCCTAAAATGGTTTTTCCCAGAACATCCTATTATGGATACTGGTTTCATTAATTCTGATTCCTTCTTTCTTTTTCTTTTATTCTTTTTAGAATGCAGCAGTAATGCTATTGTTGAAATGAATGATTTTCTTTTCTTGAATTGTAATCACTGATGCTTGAATGATAGAATTTTAGTACTGTAAACAAGCTGTAGTCATTAATGTGAGAGACTTAGAAGAAAAACCTAGAGTGGACTATTAATGTTCCTAAGTGAATTTTGCTGTAACTGGTATTTTTCATTTTGTCCTTCTTAATACACATTACTTCAGAATTTGCTTGCTATTATGAGTTTGACAGTCAGTCTTTTGGAGTGACAGCAACTTTGATGTTTGCACTAAGATTTTATTTGGAATGCAAGAGAGATTTGAAAGAAGTCTCAGTAGTACACATGTAACTAATTTATTTGAAATCTTTGCTAAAGAAATCTACCAGTTTCTTCAAGTGCCTTTTAAAAACTTATCACAGATGATTGGTGAAAATACTATCGTACCTGTTGTTTCTTGCACATCAGCTACAGAAACAGCTTTGTACAGTGAGAAATACTAATTTGTTTGACATTCCATGTTAAACTACTGTCATGTTCAGCTTCCTTGCATGTAACGTAGAACCTAGTCCACCATATCATGTGTTGTGTTCTGGAGAGTGTTCTTTATTCAATAAAGTTTTAATTTAGTATAAAGAGAGCTTTTGCTATTTTGTGTGATTCTTTCTTTTTTCTTTTTCTGTACAGCCATTTCATATAGGAGTACACAATAAACCTCCTTCTTCAGATCATGGTAAAAATCACTCTATCCCACAAGCATAGCCACTACAATCTTACTAAGGGCTGGAGTGGTAGTCAAATGGGAAAGATACTGGCCTGAACACCAAAATCTCAGCTCTTTTCCAATCAAATTATTATTACATCAAATAACAATCGTAATTGCAAGCAAGTTGATAGCCACTAATAACTGATGTGGGATGGGTGTGATTTAAAAAAAAAAATCATTTATCAGTTCACAACTATCAATGATGTCTTTAGTAGTTGTGAAAGAAGTATGAGAAAAGTAAGTGCACATTTTCAGGAATCTCATTTCAAGGGAATAGAATCTGGGTTGTGCTATTGTTTTAAATACAAAATGTGCTATCAGTATTTTAAGTTACATTTTAAGGAAGTTTAATTCACTATATTGCTTAAAAATACCAAAGCCACTGCCATTGAGTCAATGCCAACTCATGAACACTTATTACCTATCACAAAGCAGACAACTCAATCATTAGAGGAGCTATAAGTAAATTATAATAAACATCCAGTTCAGTTGCTGCTTTGGGGGGTGGGGGAAATGAACAAAGTTGATGCCATTTGTCTCAGACCAAGGGATTATCTGATTTTTCCCCCCAAGTTTATAGATCTAAGTGATGATGTCAATGTTTTGAATTTATTTGACCAGTTGAGAATCAGATAGGAGAAGCAGGTTTTCTATGTTTATACGTGTCTACTTGACCACGAACAATGAAGATGCTATTAATTTATTTGTCTTTGTGTATCTTGCACAAGCTGGATATATATATGTAATGGGGTAAACAAGTGGTTAAACTATTAAATACATTTCTAATGTGTATGGGGTGGGAGAGAAAGTTCTTACAGAAATAGCTGTATAGTTCATCCCAAACATTTCTGAACATAAGCTATTTTCACTATTAAAAAAAAAAAAGAAAGATTATGCATGTGCCCAGTTTACAAAACAAGAAGTATATAAAGTAGAAAGCCAAACCTCTCACCTCTACGCCAACATAACACCAAAACACATTATGGTTCAGTCAATTCCAGCTTGGCAACCTCACCAGACAGTGTGGAATGACTAATGACAAGGCCAGTAGCCATGTAATTAACCAGTGCATCACCAAGACCCCAGCATGCCTACCACTGCCAGAAGAAACCACTTAAAAACAAAACTTATCAAGCGTTTTCAGTCCTAGGATTTAAAGGATCTGTCCTATGAAGCTTACAATCTGAGATTCTCCAGAATATTAAAAAAAAAAATGATGTTCCTTTCACATTGCTTAACTTAATTGACTGCTTTTACTGCCTAAAAATTCAACTGAGCTGTATTTTAGGAATGATGAGAAGATGAAGTTTCATGCCACAAAAATATGTATTTGAACACTGAACATACATTTCTCATGTCTAAATGGAAAACTGAATCTTCTAGAAGTAGTTCTGTCTAGTGGAAGTTTTAATGGTGCTTCAAGTGTGTTACTGCATTCAACGTGGCAGCTCCTGGCTACAGAACATGTGAATCATGGCTACTGTGACTGGAGAAGTGAACTCTCTTTTATTCTTAATTTAAAGAGCTGTAGCTACTGTATTGGCCTGTGTGGTTCTAGAGTCCTCTGGGGTGGGCAAACTTTTTTTTTTTTTTGTAAACAACACTGAAAGTTTGGCAGTCCAGTGCACCCGGAAGTGTCTTGGAAGTCTGGTGGTTTGCTTCTAAAAATCATCCACTGAGAATGCCACGGAGCACAGTTCTAATCTGTCGCACGGGCTTGCCATGAGTTGAAATAGATGTCTTAAGCAACTGGCTTGGTTTTTTATTTAGGAAAGTAATTTTAAGGAACCCGTGACTTTTACATGAATGTCCATGACCTTTTAGACTGATAACCGTGCATTTTACATGATCATTGTGTTTCTTTAGAATTTTATATGAAGGGTCTGCTACCTTTTTAAAAAAAAATCATTTTATTAGGGGCTCATACAACTCTTATCACAATCCATACAAACATCAATTGTGTAAAGCATATTTGTACATTCATTGGCCTCATCATTCTCAAAACATTTGCTCTCCATCTAAGCCCCTGGTATCACCTCCTCATTTTTCCCTTCCCTCCTCGCTCTCCCCTCCCTCATGAGCCCGTGATAATTTATAAATTATTATTTTTTCATATCTTGCCTTGTACCAGTGTACATCCTCTGGTCTAGCCAGACTTGCAAGGTAGAATTTGGATCATGATAGTAGGGGGGATGGGGCGGGGTGGGGGAGCATTTAGGAACTAGAGGAAAGTTGTATTTTTCATCGTTGCTACATCACCCTCTGAAAAGCCTAGTGCCTTTATTTGATACCACTTCTGAAGCACATTGTTCATCCTCTAGGACAAAGGCCTTTCTCTTACTTTATTTTGTGAAAATTGCTGAACCTCTCAACCTGCTCATGGTGCTAGTTGTTTGCCCACACACTGCCTCTCCTAAAAATTCCAAACTTCAAATTCCAACATGCCAAAACATCTGTGCTTTGCTCTTGGAGGGAGAGCAAACTAATGAAGTTTAGGGGCTTATTAAAGTCTTAAAGTGAGCTCCATTTATAAACAGCACAGCAACAGTGTAGAAACATGTTTATAATCCTTACTGGCTCCAAGACTCTGTTTTTACCTTTGTCTTCATTGGGCAAAGTATAGCTGAGCCCTTGGCATGCTAGAATTTGCAGCTAGCAATTTTCAGAATTGAAAAGCAGACCAAGGCAGAAAACTGCCATAAGAAGACTAGAAGGAGAACTTTCTGTATAGGGTAAAGATACTTGGGAGGAAAAAGCTTACGTTTGTTTCCTGGTCTTCAAGAGTGTTGACATTTCTAGTCAGACTATTTCTTCTAGCCTCCAGATGTTTCCTTCAAAGACCATAGCTTATTTTGGCTATGATCTAGAGTAATTTCAATGCCCACACATGTTCCTGTTGAATATAAAAAGTCTACTTTAGAAGACCAACCAAGTCTTGTTTAATGCAGTGCAAGGTCTGCTCCCAGGTAATGTGAAAGGAAATGGACCCTAATCTAGTTTTGGGGATAGAGACTCCAGTCAGTCCCTCTACAAAACTGTGCATCAGACTTAGCACAGACAGAGACCTCAGCTCTCAAGGCCGCAGGAGTCATGAGACTTACTTTATGTGAAAAGCAAAGGAGAAGAAAAGAACTGTCTTTACGTTAGAAAATGAAGGCCAGACAGACACATTTCAGAGATTTATTTATTCTAATTAAACACATTACTAATTTCAAAACCCTTTTCCAAAGAAATGTAAGCTAATCTTAAACCAAAGACTACAAACATGACTGCAACCGAATTTAACTCAAAGAGGTCTAAAGGTTGACGCATAAGACTGCTGCAATGGTGACTCGTTTCCTGAACTCAGCAACTGAGTTAGATCCATCTTTATGAAGCCCAGCATCTGAACTTCTAATGATCCACCTTGATTTATCAATATATAAAGACCTAGTCAAAAATAAATAGGCACAACTGAGAACTGGTTAAAGACAGCTTGGGTTCAGAGACACTTTTCCCCATGACTTGGCTACATTTATCACTGACTGTCCTTGGGAGGGCCAGGTCATTTTAAAATGTTTTGAGGAAACCACCTTACATTCATAAGTTTCAAATTTCAGTGAGTCTGGTCATTTGACAGTTAACTACATCCAACACTCTGTCATCTATAATTCAATGTAAAACTCAAATAGGTTTACATGTTATTATTTTCTATATACTTAAAATATTTTATAACATAGTTAAAATATAATTCAATGATGCAATAAGCTATAATATGATTGGTATTATTTCTTTCAGTGCAGAACTATCAATCCCATATTTTCCTAGTTTTACATTCTTTGTTTATTCAGTCTAATCCCTGACTAAACATTTCTGATTCATGACAGCTCAAAAATTATATTTTTCTATAAAATTTCGTTCATATCTGAAGCTTCAAATCTATAATTTATTTCTCATACTGAATATACAGTCAAAATTAAAATGTATTAAATGATACAAAGCATCTATCAAAATGTGTCCCTTTAGAAGGGGACACATCTAGAACAGCTTTGCTGTTACATTAATATATATATATATATGTGTGTATGTGTCTAAATATATACAAACCTAGAACAGTTTTGTGGTTAGATTTGGTTTACTGATTTGTGGTATCAAACACGATCCTTTGCTATGTATACCTTGATACCTTATAACTTGCTCCTTCAAATATTTACCTTTTAACAAACAAATACCAAGTTAAACATTTCAAGAGTAGCTGTGGGGTGAGCGAGCTAGCAGATGTTTAGCCTTTGTAATTAAAGAGTGCCAGTGGAAACGATTAAAATATGCATTTAATTTTCATCTTTACTTTGGCCCTCAATTGTCTGGAGGACTTGCAGCACTTTATAATTAAAGAGTGCAAGGACTGTAGGGGATGGCTACCTGAAACTCTCAAAGTGGCAAATGTGGGAACCAAAGCACCACTGGCACTAAAAGTGGCAAATGTGGGAACCACGGCACCACTGGCACTGGACCCGGCGTTTTCAGTGAGTATAACAGCCAAGCTCCACCTCCACACCTATCATTTCTACTTGATAATTAGCTCTTATGTGCAAAAGAAAAAAGAGCTAGAGAGCTGTAATGTATTATAAGTGATATAAATCTGGCAAAAACTTTAAAGATGAGAAACTGCTCATAAAAAAGTACTTTGACCTTGTAAGAAAAAAGCAATTCTAATGGAGAAGAAAGAAATGTTGTTAGCTAGTGCAGTCAGAAGAATTTCAGGTTTTTATTTATTTATTTGTTTCTTTTATTATCTGTTGTGTTTTTTTTAACTTTGGAAATAAATTAAGGATTAAAGGCCACTCTTTCAATTTGTAATGTCTTTGTCTAGCTCAGTGATAGGCACATATTTTGTAATGTGACAGAGCTAACTGGGTGTTCAGGTATTTCACCAGGGTTTTGTTTTTACTTTAAAAAATATTTTTAACAACCCTTGCGATTTGTGACTAAAAGCTAGATGACCTTTAAAAAGCAGGCCCTGGTTTTAAAAGCCACATTACTTTAAGTCTTTGAATATTTT